CCACCCTCGCCACCAGCGTAGCGAAAAAGTTCATTATATGGCTGCAACTCAGCGGGCGCATGCGGCAGCAGCTGGTGCACCAGCGGAAATACCCGTTAGAGCAGAGAATTGCCTTGCCGAGCTTTCGTTCGTGTTTACTGGCGTACTGGACGCATTGGGACGAGAAGAAGGACAAGCCTTGGTCAAGAGATATGGCGGCAAGGTCACCACGGCCCCTAGCTCAAAAACCAGCTACGTTGTCCTGGGCGGCGATGCCGGCCCAAAGAAATTGGAAACAATCCGCAAGCATGGCCTGAAGACAATTGATGAACACGGCCTTTTTGAGCTCATCAGAAAAATGCCCGCAAATGGAGGTGATGGGAAAGCTGCTGTTCAATATGAAGCAAAGAAGAAAGCCGAACAGGAAAAGATTAAAGAGATGGCCGCTGAGATGGATCGTGAAGAGAAAAAGCGACTCGTTGCTGCGTCCGCGAAGCCGACCACTAAATCCGTACCGACGTCCGGTAATCAGACACCAGCAGCGGCAAACAAACCAGCTGTGGATGACCGGTTATGGACAGTGAAATATGCACCGACTTCCTTAAATATGATATGCGGAAACAAAACAGTAGTCGAAAAGCTTCAGTCTTGGCTACGGAACTGGCGTAGTAACGCAAAGGCTGATTTTAAGAAGCCGGGTAAAGATGGCTCGGGCATATATCGTGCTGTCATGATTCACGGTCCTCCCGGCATTGGAAAGACAACTGCTGCCCATCTTGTGGCAAAACTTGAAAACTACGATGTTGTGGAGACGAACGCGAGTGATACGAGAAGCAAAAAATTACTTGACGAGGGCCTACGAGGGATACTGGATACCACTTCTCTCCAGGGCTATTTCTCTGGGGAAGGAAAAAAGGTAGATGGCGGAAAGAAAAACCTCGTCCTTATAATGGATGAAGTCGACGGAATGTCAGCTGGCGATCGCGGCGGTGTTGGCGCTCTTGCTGCAGTAGCCAAGAAGACTCGAATTCCGATCATAATGATATGCAATGAACGAAGACTACCAAAGATGAGGCCATTCGACCATGTCACCTACGAACTTCCATTTAGACGCCCCACCGCCGATCAAATGCGCTCAAGGCTGTCTACTATCTGCTTCCGAGAAGGCTTGAAAATCCCTCCGCAAGTACTGGATGGCTTAATTGAAGGTACTCACTCAGACATACGACAAATCGTTAACATGCTATCTACAGTAAAACTCGACAGTCAAAACCTTGATTTTGATAAAGGCAAACAAATGTCAAAAGCCTGGGAAAAGCACGTTAATCTTGAAACCATGGGATATTGTTGGCAAGATCTTGAGTGCGCAAATGTTTTCCCAAAGTTCGACGGCTACTCTCAACGACAAAATTGAGCTTTATTTCAATGATTCATGAATTCAGCTATTTAATGCTACAAGAGAATTATCTCAAAACGAACCCTGTCAGGGCTAGTGCATACAATGGCAGAGAACGGAAACTCAAACTCCTTGAACTTGCCGATGATGCTGCTACGAGTATCAGCGATGGAGACCTAGTAGACAGGATGATCCATGGTTCCCAACAGCAGTGGAGTTTAATGCCAACCCATGCTATTTTCAGTTTTGTTCGACCAGCCAGCTGTATGTCCGGTAATATGATTGATAGACCCGGATTTACGAGCTGGCTAGGTAATAACTCTAAGCAAGGTGAGAGCCCTCAATCTTCACTCCGCGCCAAGATCAGGCTAACTGGTCTTGAATCAAGGCAAAATGACTCGACAGATCAAAGAAATCCAAGGGCATATGCGGCTTCGCGCTTCGGGTGATAGGCACGAAATTCGGCAACAATACCTTCCGGCTCTCTGGGAGCAACTGATCCACAGACTTGAGGTTGACGGCAAGGAAGCAGTTCCAGAAGTCATCGATCTCATGGATAGCTATTTCCTAACCAGAGAAGACTGGGATTCCATCCTTGAGCTTGGCCTTGGTCCGATGTGCGAAAAGGGGGTGAAAATTGATACCCAGACAAAAGCGACTTTTACTCGTCTATACAATCAACAATCTCATCCTCTTCCGTTTATCAAAGCAAGCACCGTGGTTGCACCGAAGCGACTCCCAACAATAAAACCAGATCTTGAAGACGCGATTGAAGAATCTGAAGCAGAGGAAATACTTGGCGAAGCAGAGACTAAAGAAGAGGATGACGAGCTTGATCTTAAAAAGGACAAGTACATTAGACCGCCGAAAAAGACAGCGGCAAGAAAGCCCGCTTCCGCAAAAGGCGCGGCGAAGCCGAAACCAAAGAAGAACAAGAGGAAGAAAGACGATAGTGATTTGGACATATCTGATAGCGAAGAAGATGTCAAGCCTACTAGGGGCAGGAAGACTAAAAAGTCTAGAGGAAAGACTTGAACACCAAGTTTTGGTATCGGGGCTTTGGGCTTGGATGTTATGGGACCGGTTTTGGATCATATTTTTTCTATTTTCATTTGGACATGACTTAATTTACACTGTTGTAGCATTTTGTTGCATTGGGTTTCTTTGAGGCGGATGATTTCTGAACCCCACTATCAAGTGGCATGGCTTATATGAAGATACAGCTGTATCCCCTTGTCTATTGGAAATGAGATTTATCAACAGCCAGGCTATTAGTGCCAGAATATACCACGAAAAATTCCAAATTCAAGTCTACGCCAATTTAGGTCTCTGACAATTCAAAACCGGAATCTCGCAAAAGGATATCATAAGCGTTACAACCAACAGCCAGGGGAATAAACTGTCACCCCGTCCCGAAAACTTTTTTACCACGGCACCTCCAGCCCCAGATTTCGCGCGACCCGCGTAGCAGACACGACGCATCCTTCAAGCAAGACCATCCCGTCCCAACACCAGCTTCCAACAAGCCAAACGTTACCATCTCCATTCCGGAACAGGCTCGCTTCGTTCAACGATTTCTCATCAGCGGCGGGCATCGGCATGCGCGCGGGTCCGGGGCTGAATATCCGATTCACGATATCCCGACTCCGAGGGGTCCTAAGAGTCCTAGTGAAATACGTGCGAGTGATAATTTTAGCTGGGTCGATAGGGCTGGTGGGAAAATTGGTCACGACGACGGCGGACTCTGGATCCTCGTGTACCGCCTCTGTGAGATCGGGAGAGGAGCGGAAATGGATCCAGTTTGGCGGGTTGGGTTTGAGATCCATTTGATAGAGGGCGTTGCTGGTTTGCTGTTTTATGGTTGAGAGATCGGTGTGGATGATTGATTCCACGGATGCGGTTGTGATGTGTGCCATTTCGGATGCGAGGGGGGCGAAGATGTTTCCGACGGCGTTGGGGGGAACGGCGAGGATGACGTGGTCGAAGGACTTTTGATCTGGAGTGCTTTCCCTAGGGGAGTTTGGGAACGGGTCCATGAAAGGAGGACGCGTGAGCCGTTTTGTTTTATGGATGTCACTCGGCAGTTGAACTGTACGGTGAGGCCTTGGGTAAGTTTCTTTTGAACTTCGCTCACTCCGCCGGAAACGCGCAAGTGGGGAGAATTGTGTGAGAGTCTCTTATAATCGATCACGTCTTTTGCTGGGAAGTTCAACATCTCGGCGTGGGTGCAGGTTGATATGCTAGCGAGCCCGGGGAGAAGGTAGTGTTCAACGAAATAGGTAGGCATCCAAACCCGTTTGAAATATCGGCCCAGTGATTCACAATGCCTGGCCTTGCCACCGACAAGCCTACTCTCCTTGGGCTGGATCAAGGAGCAGCATATGGTGAAATATACCAAGCAGAGGGCTAGGTAAGCCGTTTCCGATACCCAGGTCCAAAAGTCGCATGCTTCGGGCCGCACAGGCGGGATCCGGTGGTTGTTCGATGAGTGAATGAAGTAA